ACTGAGTTTAAATATAAATATTGTTTTACCTATTTATTGGATAGATGTACCTCAAGAAATTTGGGTATGTAGACGAGACAAGCGACAAGTCTTCTTCACTGACGGATTTCAACTCTTTGGAAAATTCTATCAAAGATTTTCAGAGGTTTGCAGGCTTAAGCGAAACAGGTAAGTTTTCATTGATGGCAATATTTTAAATAAAATATGTTTTGTTTATTACTGTGAGTACAAATGTTCTCCTACTGATTAAAACAAAATGTTTCCCAGTTGCTGTTAGCAAAATGTGCATAATCATCCTAGTACAATAATTTATTATGTAACTGAAGTTATCTATAAATTAATATATTATATTAGCTTCTGAACGCTGTTTTTGTTTCTTATACTGATATACAAATATAGGAGCACTGTGTGTCAAAATCAAAATAAATCAAAGGGGTGTTATAAATAGAGTTCAACCAAATTGGATTAATGTTACGAGTGGGGTAACTCAGGGATCTGTAGCACTTTGGCAGGACCTTTACTCTTTTTCATTTACATCAATGACATAGATGAGGGAAGGGTCAATATTTTATTTAAATTGGCTTATGACATTAAAGTTTTGGGTGTTGCTGGCTGTGGGGAGGATGCTACTGCCTTATAAAAGGATTTGGATTATTTGGTGATTTGGGCAAATAAGTAGCAGGTGGTTTTTAATTATAATAACTGCAAGATAATGTATGTGGGATATCACAATTTTAATTATAAGTATAATTTTGATGGGAATAACCTTAACAGTATTATGGAAGAAAAATATATTGGTGTTCTGGTTGATCAGTCTCTTAAACTATCCATGCAATGTGCTGTTACTAGTAGCATGGCCAATAGTATTTTAGGTTGTATCTACAGAAATATTGAATACAAGACTAAATAAGTTGGGACACATTTTGGAGCATTGTTTTTAGTCTTGGGCTTCTTACATTAGGAAGGGCATTGAATTGTTGGAAAGGATTCAAGGAAAGGCTACTATGATAATAACTGGGATGGAAAAGTTATCATATGAGTATAGGTTAAGATCTCTGTACTTGTTTTCTCTTGAAAACGAGTAAGTTAGGGGAGATCTGATTGAGATGTTTAAGAATATTGATAGTGTTGATACATAATCTTTTTTTTCATATTTAATGGTGAGAATGGTAGGACTAGAAGACACAAATATAAATTTTGGCAGGGAGACGTCCTCTTTAGCTATGAAAACTTTATTTTTCTAACAGGGTGATTGGCCTCTGGAACGGGTTGCCTTCGGATGTAATGGATGCAGTTAGTTTAAGGAATTAAATGGGAAGTTTGATAAATATCTGAATGTATGAACGGGCTTTGGGGCTTTGACCAAAAAGTCTCTTGCTGTCCTTTAATATTATGTTAAACAGGTAAAAAAAAAAAAGATATTGATTCATAGATAAGTAGGTTCGGGTATATGTATCACTAAAATGCGATTCGTTTGCGCATTACAATAGAAAATTTGTGATTCTTATTTCCCTTTTTCATAACACATATACGTGCAAAGAAACCATGACATAGAAGTTACGAACATACGGAAATTTGACATTGATTTTAATAGTAGAGCTTCATACGTACAGTCAATCTATTCAATTACTGCACTTTTTTTTTTTTTTATTTTTTTTTTTATTTTTTTTGACTAAAGTTGTTAGTAATAATATAAATATGTAAGTAAAAATTAAGTAAATATA